AAGAGGTGATGTTAGAGATGGGTTCCAATCAACAAATAATTTCTGAAAATATACCAGAAAGTCCAAAATGGATGAGGCAGGTTCTTCCCTATGTGGGATCATTCTGGGAAGAACAAAAAACTAAAGGAGTCTGGCCTCAGTCCTCCATCAAGCCCGAGAGGAAGGCATCATATTTTCCTGTCCCCATTTTGTAGGCAGAGGGAGTAACCTACCCAGGTCTGACCATGAAGCCAGGACATCATCCCCTGGCCCTGTGCTTCCAGGGGACTTTGTTCAGGCAGACTGCCCCAAGCTTGTCCTAGGTGACCAATTGTCCTGGTCTGCCCAGTACTGAGAGAGTTCTTGAGACATGGAATTTTCATTGCCAAAACCAGAAAAATCCCAGGCTAACCCTGCTGAGTTAGTCAACCTTGACTATCCCAGGGTTAGCAAGTCTTGGCCAAAGGTCACCAGCCTTTCATCCTGCTCTATGATAGCTGGAAATGAACAAGGTGCCATCTGACAGGATAAGATGCCAGCTTCCTAAGCAGCTGTGTAGTGAGGGTCAAGCTGCCATAAAAATCTCCCTGAGATGCCCTGCCCCATTTTCAGCAGCTCTGCTCCATTCTTTAAAAATTCCCTTTCCTCTCAACTCCATGCCCCTATATAAAGCAAGAGAAATGCTGGCATGGTGGTGGGTACCTATAATCCCAGTTACTCTGGAAGCTGAGGAGGATTGCTTGAGCCCAGGCGTTCGAAGCTGCGGTAAGCTATGATTGCACCATTGCACTCCAGCCTGGGCAAAAGAATGAGACCCTGTCTCCAAACAAAAACAAACAAACAAAGAAACAAAAACAACCAGCAACAGAAAAAAAGGGAACCTAGAAAGATGAGACAATTCCTAGGGTTCATTTCAGATAGCCCATATCCTAGGATTCTGTTGACATCCTCATGAATGCAGGAACTCCCTGAGCTCCTCAGAGGCTTTGGATTTCTCTTTGTAAAGAAAGCCCACCTGAGCAAAACTTCTCCATGGTTCAGTAGCCAATAGGAAGCTGACTGTCCTGTCCCTCAAGGGTCATATGACATGTTACCCAAAAGACACTGAGGTCTGCCTTAAGTGTCACTGAGAAGGCCTCCTCTGGTTCCTGGCCTGTTTTCCAGAGTTGGCTTCTTGCATAATTGATAGATGTATCTGAGAGTAAAACCACCTTGTCCTCTGACAGCCTGAGAAGTCACATTTAAGTGCGAGTAGGTCAGGTGCCTTGAGGACACAGAATCTTGTGGCTTGGGCAGCCCTATCCATTAGAGGCCTTACAGCCCCTCCCATCTTAAACTGCTTTATTTCCAGGAACTCCCCAGAGCTGTGTGAGAAGGCAGTCCCTACTGACCCAATAGGGCACCCTCAGGACCTTTCTCTGTTGAGCCTTTTCTAGTTCTGATTAAGGAAAAAAAAAAAAAAAAAATCAGGAATGCTTCCCGCAGTCCGACACAACCTTCTCTGGGGAGACTCCAGTCTTTTTTTTTGAGACTCTAGTCCTTAATGTCCCAATTCAAGGATGAGAAGCATCTGCTCACCCCACTCCTTAGACAAAAGGGCCTTGAGAAGCTGTTTGGGAGGGGTCTGACACTGAGAAAAAGAGGTGGGCTCAATCAAACACCACCCCCAGTGGTTTACCCAGAGGGGCTTGTGAAGCTCAGTAAGATACGTGCTGCCTTCCCCGAGCAGCCGCTGTGGCTGGGCCACCAGAGAGTTTCTGCCGGGAATGGAATCTGAAACAAACACTATGGTCAGCCATTCCCAGATCAGGAGAACTAGAACCTTGGACTCCAACCCACAGACACAGTCTCCATCCTAAGACCGCCTCAGGCTGAGGAAAGCCTAACTCTCTCATGCTTTGCAGAGAGAGTACCTGGCCCACCTCCATACTACCCTATGTCTGGAGAGCCTTCTCTTCCCAGCTTCTGTGGATCAACTCTGCTGCTGAACAGGGCTAGGGAGCTGTAATTATCGAGACAGGATAAGAGCTATTTTGGGAAGGAGTCATCCTGCTGCCAAGGTTTTTGACTTCCTAAACTAAAACAAGATGCACAGAAAAAAGGGGTGAGGGTGAGGGAGAACAAGGAGGAGTCTGCTCAGTCAAAAGCACTCAATCTTAAATGAAGGGAAATATTAACCCCTTCCCAAAGGTGTAAATTTGTAGGCTGCCTCCGCACTAGGGATGAGCAAGAGGTTAGCTGTTAAGACACCTCCCCTGACTTTGGGAAGGAGGGTGGCATAACCTGATCCTCCTACCCATCTCCTGCTGACTCCCTCACTCCTAAGATCCCTCCAAGAGCATTTGTTCAGTCTGTTCCATCTATTTTGGCATTTGAGCACAAACTATATCATATTGTTGTTTAAATGTTTCCTGTCTGTGTCTTATCGTCCCAACCAGATGAAGTTTCTCAAGGCCAAAGAACGGGTGTGCCATGAAACTTCACTGCTTCCCCACAATGTGCCTAGCAGAGTGCTAGGCATCTGAATGAAAATTGTCTATGGAAGGAAGGGAGGGAAAAAGGAAGAAAGGGAGTAGATAATCTCTAAAAGTAGCTGCTCTCACCCACAGCTGAGCTTAGGGCAAGAGGCAGGATAAGAACCCATGGCATAGGGGGTGGCAGTCGCCATTTCTGGACTCCTCCCCTTCAGCTGTTCGGTTATCTGAGCTCAGGCTGCCTCCGCACTCATTTATTTTCCATCTGTGGTCAACTGTCCATGCTGGATCAGTCCATGAATGGGACCATTAGAGGTCATTGCTAGGCTTTGTGTAAAAGAGAAATACGGCAAGAGAAAGAATGGAAGTAGAAAGAGCTCTGACCATTTTATCTAACATGGGCCAAGAAGAGCCAAAGTACCTCTGGGAACAATGCACTGTGAAATCAGGACACTGCCAAATTCAGGACACAGGACTGCTGAGAGCAGAGTCCACCTTGAGTTTTTCCAAGTTGAGGACCCAAATAGTATGTAACCCAGAAAAGCGACCCCTTTTTGGAGTGCCCCAGACTGGAGAGGGGAGAACCAGGTGGGGACTGATCCAATCCAAGGCTGTCTAGACAGTCTTCCCACAGAGCATTTGGTAAGATTCATCTGCCAAAAGGTCTCTATTCTTTCACTCCAGGGCTGTACCTAGTTCATGTAGTGCTTTTATGCAAATCTCCCTCTGGGGAGATGCAGCATCACAGGTATACGGCTTGGCAAATGAAGCACAGGCTACATTTCAGCCTCAACTTGCTCTTCCTGCCAGGTGCCTTTGTGCAGTGAAAAACCTGCCCAACCATAGGGAGCAGCACTGTCTCCCTCCATACCCACATTCATCAGAGGACAGGAGAGGGGCTTGGATGGAAGGATGGGCACAAGAAGACTGGAAGTTCCCAAGGGCATTCTTACCTCCTCATCTGTCATAACAGAGAAGTAGAAGCCAGGTATTTCCAGGGGGCAGCAAATGAAATTCAGAGAGTGCCAACAGGAGGGAAAAAAGATAATTTTACTAAAGATGGCCAGTGGACCTGAGCATAACCTGGTCCAAATCCCCTCCTAGTACAAATGGCCCAAATAACAACAGCTAGTCTTTACTAAGTGCTCGTTGTTGCCAGGCATCACACTAAGTGCTTTACATGTAATAGCTTGTAATAATCCTCACAATAATCCTAAGGGGAAGCCATTATCCTCATTAACAGATCGGGAAACTGAGGCTTGAAAAGGTAAAATAACTTACCCAAGGTCACAGTCAGAAAATAGTGGACTCAGGGCTCAAATCCAGTATGCTAACTCCAGAGTCCATACTTTACTACACCTATACTTTATAAGGTTTTCTCCCTCTGAGGGGCAGGGCTGCCCTTCTTTGCTCTTTGCTATCCATCCTTTGGAGGGCTCATGCTGATTGTGACAGGATTGCATTCCCAGGGATCTCTCCTCCCAGGAACTGCTTTATCCAGAGCCCTGGCATCTGTCATGCTCATAGAGCTGGAACATTTTGGGGGCCATTAGGCTCACAGCAAGAAGGCCCTGCTGCCAAGATTTACTCTATGAGGGCTGGTCCCCACCCTCCTCTGCCCCCAGAAAGGCCAAGAGTACACAGGGAGCAGAGGGTCATGAGGGCCTGGGGACACTTCTTTTAAGGATTCCAGAGCAGCAAGGCTCACTGATGGCATCCAGGGGAAGGCCAAGACATCCCTGGAGATCCTGCCTGGGTAGCAGCCAGTAAATACAAGGTGGACCAAGCCAAAAAACCAAAAACAAAAACCCCAAATTTATCTTTTGGAGGACAGGACCCCTTGTAGTACAGGCCCCCATAGAATACCATAGAATACCACAGAATACCACACTAGGTATGGTATTCTAGGATCCCATTGGCATCAGTGTATCAGCTAGCATTTTGTGAGGCTGCATTTGGCTTCAGTGCATTTTTTTTGGGGGGGGGCGGGGGATTCTTTCAATGCGTTTGCCCATTTCATGATGGGTGATTTATGAGCACACCTGCCCACATCACACTGAGTGCTCTGCAGTTTTGACCAAAAAAGCATGACTCCTTGCCCCACCTTCCCTATTCATCCTATCTTGCCCTGAACGACTTTGTTTCCCTGGATGAAAAAGTCCCCAAAGGGAAACACTTTGCCAATGTAGAAGAGGTGAAACAAAAACCAGCAGAAGTACTAAAAAGCATCAAAATTGACAAGTTCAAAAACTGTTTTGAACAGTGGAAAAAGCATCTCCATAGGTGTACTGCATCAAATGGAGAGTACTTTGAAGGTGACTATTTAAACATGTAAGAATACACACTTTTTAATAAATAAATTCTGATTTGTGGGGGTCCCCCCTTGTACATCCCATTTTGGTGAGGGCCTTGAGGAGGTTTCTGAGGAACCAGGGGGACACATAAGATGAGCCCCTAACCTGAGTTAGTGTGGAGTCAACCCTGAGCAAGACTGTGAAGCAGGTGGTTTGCTTTTTTTTTTTTTAATCACATGATAGGTAAGACAAGCTAAGCTGAAGGACCATGAGGCTTAAAGTATTCTTTATTCCAGAAGTTCTATTTAACAGGATAGCCATTCCTATTAAAAGGAGACTTAAAAATGAAAACGTTTACAAGCCCCAGAGAAATGACACTCCAGCATGTATCTCCTAAAGGACCCAGCTCTATAGACAAATAGACACCACCCTCACCTGTGCTCCGAACCCCCAACCCCCCACAATGGGCCCACAGGAGGGAAAAGCACAGACCTTTTAGCCACCAGATGACACGATTGAACATTTCCTCAGAGACATCTGAAAGTAACAGAGAGATAATTGCTTTCCTTCTATCTGTGGGATGCACACCCCTACCCCTACTACTTGCATCTCCCTTTCTAGCTCCACATTCTCCACCCCCAAAGGTGCCGTCAGTCCTTGAGCCTCTCCAAGAAGCACCTCCAGCCTAGGACTTAAATATCACATTCCCATTTTCCTTCTCCCTTTGTTTACATCCTCTTTCTGTGACACTGTGAATGCCTTCCCCCTTCTGGAAGCCCATGACCAGCTCATCTGCACCCCATGCTCTCCACTTTGTTGCCAGAGATTTACCTGAGGGCTTTATTCTCTTAAACAACCTTTACCAGCTCTCACCCTAGCTCAATTCTTTGTCTCCACTCCAGAAGCTCCTTCGGACCCTGCAAACCCCCTCTGCTACCTTCTATTGAAAAGTTAAGCAGTGTTGCCTAGAAGAGTCAATGCCTGTCGCCAGCCCAAGCATCGTCATTGATGTCATTAGTTTGGAGCTCAGAGAAGCTGGCAGGGAAGGAATAGAGCAATGGGCTCAAAGATGGGACTAGCTTTGGCACTGGCAGGAGGGCAGCCCTTAGGTTCAAAATAAAGTGGGGCCTTTCCTGCCCACCCAAACATCCCATCTCACTAATTGGGGCTGCACCTGGGCAGTCTGCTTCTTCACATACCCAAGAAGAAAGCACTGAACCTTTGAATGGGTTGTTTGCAGGTGTACTTGGGAACCTGTGGCACTTTCCTCAATGGTGCCCAACTGGAAGGCTCCTTTGATGATGGTGGTGAGCTTGCCTTTTCTCTCTGGAACATTAGATCCTCACAGAAAGGGCTTGAGTCCATTTCAAAAAGGGACGATAAAGGGTCTAGGGAAGGAGAGGACTTAGGCTCAAAATCAGGTGTTACTGGCCAGCTTTGGGATGTTTCAACTTCAGAATTCAGCAAAGCCCACCATGAGGAGTTGGGCTCGTACCTAGGTAAGGACCGAGGGGGTAAGGGCCGAGGAGTCAGTTCCAGTTCTGCATGGATGGAGGGCTCTTGTGAGGGTCCTGGGGACATAGAGGTAGCTTCTGGAAGTTTGGAGGTTTGCTGTTTATAGATGGGCTCTGGAGTGACATACATGGAAGATTTTGAAGGGTCCTCCGACACTGATCTAGCTGATGCATAGTGAGTTGACTGTACTGACTGTTCCCCTGAGGAGATAGTGACCCTGCGGCCGACCTCACTGCCTCCTCGGGTTAAGGACCTCACATCGGACTCCACCTCTGATATTAAGACCTTTGCAGAGGGCTTGGTTTCAGAATGGACAGAGGGGCTGTAGAAAGACTCAGGGTTTGACCACGCAGAAACTTGCTTTTCATCATCTGACTTTCTAAGGACAGAGAGTTTGAGGGATGATTCCAAGTTCATATTCTTATACAAGTTCTTGCGTTCTGACGGAGTTGAGCTATATGGACTCATTCCTGGCTCTTCTCCAGAGAGCCCTCTCTGGGCTGTCTGATGGCCTGCAGAGTCAGGGCTGCTGCCGTGCTCTGGGCTAGAGAGACGCCTTGAAGATCTGATCTCACTAGTAGTCAAAGTCCTTCGGATGGGCTCAGTTTGTACTGCTACATCCTTTTGGTAAGCTGAAATCCTACGGGGAACTTTGACCCCTTGGGGGTTCTGGACCTTGGAGGGTGGGTCATCTTGTATGATTTGTGATTGTGAGTTATCCTTCTGGTCTAGAAAACTCAATCGACGAGAGGATCTGGCATCTGGGCTTGATGAGGCACGATGGCCGGCCTCATACCCTGGTTTGTTCTCACTACTTCTTTGTATTGCTCCCTCTCTAAACGGACTAACATTCCGTTGTGTGCTTGCAACATAGAAAGTCGTTGTCTGAGCTTGCTGGCTTTTTTGATGGCGGGATGCTTCTGTTCTTGGTCGGCTCTCAGTTCTCTGAGGTGTGGGTGCTGCATAGAAGCCAGGCCCTGACTGGAGGGAGACAGATTGAGTATAGTCTGATGTCGAATAGGGGTTGGTGGGATGTGCAGCTTCTGATCTTTGCTGGGGAGAAGAGCTCAGGGATGTTGCAGCATTTCGCTGGGGAGAAGAGCTCAGGGATGCTGCAGCAATGTACCCATGTCCCTGCGGATGCTTTGTGCTAATTGGCCCTCTCTGTGCTGACACTGCTACCTTAGACCCAGTTTTGTTTGTCTTGGCCATCTGATAGACTGTGTCCTTCTGAGCAGATCCCATATTTTACCGGCTGGCTTGTATTCAGGATCCTAATGAAGCCTAACTATTTACCCTATTTTAGAAGCTGTTCTTAGGATCCCACAAAAGTGGCTGTTGTTCTAAGAGTGTCTCAAATAGTTCCCTTAGCGACCTCTCTGTCTGGTGATGTCATAAAGGAAGGCGCTTCCTTCCTATTAAACATCCTGGTGTATAGCTACAATTCTTCAGATAATCCCAAGCAGTACCTGAAAGGAAACTGTGGATCTGTCTTTGAAGTTGGCATCACCAAGCCTTTGGCCAAGTTCTTAACAAAACCGGGATTTCCTTGTATACAGAGAAGGCTCTAGATCTTCCCTTATTCTCCCCAGATTCTAGGAATTCTCGGGGACTCAACCAGAGAAGGAATCTGCCAGAATATCCTATGAAGACAAGGTTACTCAAAACAATCACACCGTGTTAGCCTCACTTTTAGTATGATACAAGGTACAAAGCTGCCGCAATTTTGTTTGAAACCACACTGTAGACAAGTCAAAAAAACAGAGCTTCCGGGTTTCACAGATGGTTTGGCTGACCCTAGGGTAAAAATCTAGGTTGTTCAGATCATAAATTCTCACATTCTTGGTCTAGGAGAATGTAGTATTTTAGAAGAGATCTGGAGTTAGTCATTAGTTTCAATCATAAATGACTAGTTGTGCACCTAGGACAAGTTACCTGACTTGCCTGAGCACTGGTTTCTTCTTCTGGAAACTATTGCCTGGTATGTGGATGTCACACAATAAAGGTTAGTGCCCTAGCCGGGCGCAATGGCTCACGCCTGTAATCCCAGCACTTTGGGAGGTGGAGGGGAGAGGATTGCCTGAATCCAGGGGTTTGAGACCAGCCTGGGCAACTTGGTGAGACTTCATCTCTACAAAAAAAAAAAAAATTAGCCAGGTGTGTGGTGGCACACACCTATGGTTCCAACTACTTGGAAGACTGAGGCAGAGGGATCAACTGAGCCCAGCTGGTCGAGGCTGTGGTGGCTGTGAACGTGCCACTGCACTCCAGCCTGGGCGACTCCTACTCAAAAAAAAAAGTGATCTATCACAGAAACAAAGAACAGAGTACCATGTATTCTCACTCATAAGCAGACCCTGAACAATTATCATAATACTATAAGAAAGGAGTTGGCAGTAGTGGGAAACTGCCAGGGGAGGGGGGTGGGATTGGCAGTTGAGGGAAACTGCCAGGGGAGGGAGCGGCACACCTCATCAACAAGGGTACTTGCATAATAAACATTTGTATACCCTACCCTGAATTATATCCTACATCTTTAAAATAAAAAAAAAAGTTAGTGTTCTTTCTCACAATCCTCTTCTGTCAGCTATCGAATCAACTGGATCCCAGTTCTCTCCTGAAGAGTGACTTTCCAATTTAGATGCCCACTTTGAGTAAGAGACTCTGTTACCTTTTTATCCCTTTCATATGCTCTCTTGCTCACTCTTAGTCATAAACCTTACTATATCCAACATTCTATTATTGACTCTGAAGAGTCATTGAGGTTATAGGATGGTCAGCTTCATTTTCCTATGTTCTGCACTGACCATTCTCTTCTGTTAAACAGTTTTTTTCTGCAAATGAGCTATAATAAAATTGATTAGGCTTATGGCTATTAATTATAATGACATTCTAGTCCTGCCTTTCATTGATGTGAGTTTTAAGTATTTCCAAGCCCTTTCCATTCCTCAAAATGAAAACAGCTTCACAAGGAATTATAAAAAGTTGAAATCACCTGAAAGGACCACTTTACCATTTTAATAAGCAAAGTTCCAAATATCTTTCTATGCATCTACTATATGCACACATTTATTTTTACACTTACACAGAAGGTCCTATTATAAACCTGCTACCATAATATTGCTAGCACTATTCCATAATATGTTATGAACACTTCTGTATCAATAAATCTATGTAGTGGGAAACTAGTTTTGAATTAATTCTCTTATGGTTGTTATATACTTTTAAAAACCAGTCCTTAATTGCTAGACATTAGGTTATTTGTTTGTTTTCTCACTGTGTTGCCCAGGCTGGTGTGCAGTGGCTATTCACAGCCATGATCATTGCACACTACAGCCTTGGCACTACTCTTGGGCTCAAGTGATCCTCCCCCCTCAGCCTCCCAAGCAGCACACAGTAAGTGTACACCTGGCTTATTTTGGTTGTTTCTAATTTTTCAATATTATAAGGTTGCAATAAACATCCTTTTATATAAATACATCTTTTGTTTACAGTCCAATTTTCTCCATAGGATGATCGTTCTAAATCCTGGCTACACATTAGAATTGGCTGGAGAACTTTTCAAAACCTATGCTCTACCTCAGACAAAATAGATCAAATAATTTGGGGGTAAGATCTAAGAATCAGCATTTTTAAATGTATAAAATGTTATAAAATTTCTGTTTATCCAATATATTACTATTATTTCCACCCAGTTTGTTGACTTTATCCTTGTTCAGGAATTATTTGTAGAAAATAAGTTTTACATTTTTATGTACTAAAATCCACCAATCTCTTCTCACTTTAAGGCCAAAGCTTAGAAAAACTTCCCCAATTCCAAGATTAAAAACATACACCTATATTTTCTAAACTTTTATGTATGTATTTTTGCATTTAAATTTTTGATTAATCAAACATTTCTTTTTTGGCACAAGGACTCAACTTTTGTATTTTTTCAAATGACTGCTCACTTATCTCAACATCATTTGTTAAGTTAATTTGATACACCTTATCTCATATTAATTCCCAAACATCTTAACTTTAGTATTTTTGGAATCTCTATTGCATTCTACAAAGCTTTCTACTCTCATGCCAATGCCATACTTGGTTAATTATTGCAGCTTTATATTATACCTTACTATCTGGTAGAACAAGTCCCTCCTCCATATTCTTCTTTTATCAGTATTGGTTCAGTCATACATTTATGGAAAGTGCTTTAATTTTACTCTACTATACAATTAATAGTATTCATTGGGAGGGTGGACTTTATTTATTTAACTCCCAGAGGACCAACTTCTTTCTAAGCTCTTGGGGAGCACCTCACTATAACCCACTATTTCTAACATCAACACATATAACATGACTATTAGTATTTGGAAAGGGAATAAACATAATCTATCTGAAAAAGAACAATTAAAATCTAATCTGAAAATTTCTATTATTATTATTGTTTTATTATAAAGATACAATTCAGGGTTAGATATACAAACATTGATCATGCAGGTATCCTTGTTGATGAGGTATGCCCCTCCCCCCCCCAGCAGCCTCCCCCAACTGCCAGTCCCACCCCCCC